ACCGACGTTTTTTTATTGGACCGACGTATCAATTTTCAAGAAAATGCGTCCAAGTTGTTGTCAAGGGAAGTTATATCAGACACGGTATACAGGAACAAAGATGCTCTCGTTCTCTCCTATCTGTTTTGCGACAGGTTCCTAACGCGCACCCTGCCATTACTTAACATGAACGACCGGTTTTCAGAGAACAGCGAGCAATCAATAGCCTGTCCCAAAAAACTAAACTTACAATGTTTTCTTCTTTTTCTTGGCCGGCGGGGGGGGGGGGGGGGGGGGGATAAATTACGCAACTACGAATGCTCATTCTCCGCCAAAATATAGCGCTAAAGGTACGAACCAGATACGCCAAAGTTTCGGAACGAAGCGCTGTCTTATGCAAAAGTTATGGGATGTTCTGAAATTTTAAAAAGGAGAATGGCGGCCGTCGGAATTTTTGAATACATGGAGTTGAATAGTGCCAGGTACGCAAACAAGCAGAATTCAAATTTTCCATTTATTTTTTTTATTTTTTTTTAAAGTTTACGTAAAACCTTTTTAAATAAAATAAAGCTGAGTTCTGGAACTACGGCCTGTGATTTGAACCTTTAGCGCTCCATATGGGCGGAGTATGAGCGGTCGGCAACGCATAGTTTATTTTACCGCAAAAAAAAAAAAAAAGAACTACAAATTTTTGGGACACCCTGTATCTGGTCACAATTTATGTTCATGTTGCATTTCTCTTCAACGGGCTGTGTATAGAGATCCGTTTAACCCTCCTGCATGGGCCTTCTGGCCCGCAGTATGTGTAAAGAAATAAAGAAATAATCGCAACAAAACCCGATATTTCATAACACGCAAAAAGGAGATGATTGACACACATCCGTGTGTATGACCTTTTATGTGTTTTCTCCCCAGCCTCAAGTTTCCGTCATTACACAAACCTTCGGACGCCTCACCGACACACTGACCGGCAGAATGTTTAACCAGTCTCCAAACCGAAAAGATAAAACGAAACTAACCCAAAAAGTAAAGAATAATAAGTGGCAAGAGCCAATAGGCCATGAGGATGAAATCGATGGTGTCTCGCTGCATCTCTCACGGACGATGCGTGCAAAAAGGCGTAAAGTATGAAGAGAACGTCCCCGAAAAAACCGAGAAATAATGGAGGACGGAACCGTCCCTCCGCAACGGAAGCGGCTCATGACGGGCATCGGTGCGCTGTGCCTCTATCCATAATGATACCGGCTTTCTCGTCTTTCTTCCTCTCCTTTTTTGTTCCCGTTTTCGGCAGTAACGAACGTCGCAGGACGAGGGGCAGCGTTGCAACGAACCACTTGAAAGAGGGCGGGAGCGATCCCCTCGGGGGAAAAGAAATAGGAAGTTAGGGAAGACGGACGAATAAAGTAGGGAAAAAGGTGGGGGAAGAAAAGGCGTAGGCGCCTAATTTCGTCGCCGTCTGGACTGGCCATACCGCCATCCTTTTTCTTTTTCTTTTTCTAATCGAGTTATGGGACGAATCGGCGTCCTTTTAGCGTTCAATGAAAGCCTCCCGCGTCTTTTGCAGTTTCGATTCTTATTTAGATCTTAGGAGCTTCGTTGCCTCATGTCGGTTACGCCGCCGCCGGTCCCAGAGGGACCATTCTCTTCGAGAGGACCCCTCAGGAAGAGAGGGAGAAGGGGAATATGCAGTACGGGAAGCGTAGGGAACATCGGTCTTCCTCCTTTAGGAGGCGTCGTGATTGAGAGGCCGTCGCTGCGTGCTTTGGGCTTGCTTCGCTTCGATGACAGGGTTGCCCAACTGCCGGCTTTTGCACAGCAGAAGGCGACGCGTCTGCTTTGCAATATGCGTGTCGGTCTCGCTGGATAGCACACACTACTCCTTTCGTTTTTGTTTTCGTTTCTCTCCCTTCTTAGTTGCTCAAAGCGGCATTGAAAGTGGTGGACGTATTGGAAGGAAGGCTTTTTACGTAAAAGATTTTAGGATGGATGCCGGACTTTAACCGGGAAGTCCGTAGATGTGGAAATTGAGAAAACGACGCGCTGCGTGGGGTGTGCGATTGGGGTCTTCAAAAGGAACGACGTGTTAGATAGGTCATGGTTGCTTAAGGGGGGAATCTCAATCCGTATGAAATAGGCTGCGGTAAGTTGGACGGCGAAGTCACATTCTGTATTGTTTCCCTTAACCAAATGGCTAGAAATATTTTCTTCTCAATGCTGAGCACCTAAATAGATAAGTTGTTTCTTTATATATATATATATATATATATATATATATATATATATATATATATATATATATATATATATATATATATATATATATATATATATATACAGCGGGCATGGTTGCGGGAGGCCGAAGGCGTGGGTATACAACTGAGAAGAAAAAACCCTTAGTGAAAACAGCAACAACGGACGATTTAATCTTCGACGTTTCGGCCGGAGTCCGGCCTTCGTCCCGTTGTTGCGGTTTTCACTAAGGGTTTTTTCTGCTCAGTTATATATATATATATATATTAGACGAATACAGTAGCAATTAAATGTGCAATTAGAGAGCCTGTAGTTGAGTCCCTTAGCGAAAACTAATACGTTTGAAATATACCACATTCTAATTTGAATGTATTTGAAATACAATTCATAATTCTAAGTACACAAAAAATATACCGAAAATATAAACTTCTTTTTTTGTTACTTAGTACTAAAATATAATTCTAAAAATCATTTTAAAATACCTTTACTTAAACTACATTTGAAGTTCCCTTCATGCGTTTTGAAATATGTAAATACCAAATTAATAGGCACAAAATACCTTTCACATATATTTCTTGAAATATTTATTTAATTCATGCAAAATATACTCCAACCCTAAAAAAATGGAGCAATCAAGAATGCGTGCAGAATACTCTTAAAATACCTGAAAATCGTAAATACTGTTGTGTTATACTCTAAGTACCTTTTGACTGCAATACTTTGGTAGTTTGACTTGAACTACAAAAATATTTAAAAGCTGAGCCCCTTCTGAAGTTCACTTCAAGCAGATATGGAGTACACTGAAGCGCCTAAATACATTTGATTAGTTTGGCAATTGAATTGCGCAGCATCGCACTGATAAATCAGCCCAGTTTATGTTATTGTTTCCTTTTTTCTATCAAGAACACACCTGATCAGTTCCTTGCACACCAATCACAAACGGGGTTCGGGAACTACAACCACAACATTTGCTGATGCTGGAAAGCTTCAGCAGGTGCTGTGAACAGATACGTTTGGCGTGGTTTTGTTAGCACAATGTTAGTTCACTGAACGTGTATACTCACCATTGTACGTGATGTGACTAGTGACATTAATACAGTGACATTAACTACCATATTAAATAGTCAACTACTAAAAAGGAAAGGCAAAACAACTACTGTAAAATATTTATTTTTCGCGGGCTCAATATTTCGCGATTTAGGTCAAAGTTGGAGTTTTGGAATAATTCGCAAATTCTAATTTTCGCGACGCGCTGGGATCGCAATATAGATTTTAATGTTTTTACATTTTGCCGGAATTGTTCACGGGACCTATTTTTCGGAATTGTAGGCGATTCGCCAACTTTGCGAGAATAAGGTCCTCACGAAAATAAAGTCGTTTACAGTATTTTAAAGTGAAGAAACTGCCTTGATTCGCTTCGACCTGAGTGGTGCTACGCAGAGAAGCAATGACATGTATTTTATGAGCCGTTTGTGTGGATATTGTTTTAAGGACTGTGCCGAATTGTTATTAGTTGTACCAATGCCTTTTAGTAAGAGATATCGTCCACGAACTTCAAAACACTGTTTCCCCCTTGACAGACTCCCGAGGAGAAGATCGAATACTTGTAACCTTAATAAGCGCAGAGGTGGTCACCGAAAAAATTATTACCTTCAATATGTAGGCTATATAAGGCAGTCAACGGGACTGTGAATGAGCTCTTCAGTGCGTCATGGTGTTTGTGTTTGTGTTCGTTTCTAATGTGGCTTTGTGAGATGTATTTAGTAGTGCCTTCAAATACCACAGGGACACCATTTGCTGACAAAATCGAAAATAAAAAAAAAAATTGTGTAACCGGTTTTTAATCCACAAATGGCATCTTGAGTGTGAAGGGAAAATATTTTTGGTATATCTAAAATATTTTTTGATTCATATTTATAATGTATTTTGAATACATTACGCGCGTATTTCGAATGCGGCCAAAATAATACAGAATAAATACAAAATGAATATTCGTACTAAATGTATTTCAACTTCGTTTGAAGTACGGCCTCTTTTTGCTAAGGGGTAGTATGCAGCAAACACATATTAATTATACTTGTCTTTCAGAGAATGTAGCAAATAAACCGTAATCGGTTCGACAAATTGAAAAATGCAAGCTGCGAAGAAGATTAAGGCCCACAACAAAAGAGGCCTCTCCCACATCGCAACACAGACTATTGACTGGGTTGACGTCCATCCAAAATTTCAAGCCTATTCAATCTTCAATGCAAAAGGCCCCCGTCAGAGAGCTGCGGGAGGCTCATGCACTGATATTAGGCTGGAAACTTCAGAACGGTTTAAGATATCCTTTGCAGACGCATTACACGGTGCCCTAAGAGCGTTAAAAAAACAGCCTGCGCTGACACTGAGCATGACACTTCACCGTTCTCAGTGTCACAACGCGGACTGAATTTTTGTTTTTGCGTTTTCTCATTTGCCCTATCCGTCATCGTCAAGCATGCTTTATAGATTGCAGTGATATAATTTGACATGCTTTCCGCTGAAAACAGACGTTCCATATTTCTTAGAGCAAGGGTAAACCATTTTACTTGTGTAACATGCCCCAGTTTTAATGTCTCTGATATTTTCACGAATGACGAGTGATGAGACGGCGAATGACTGAGTAGACTAACCGTTTAATGGGGCGAACTTGTGACCAAAAATAAAATGGAAACAGAAGAAAGCAGAGCGTCGCGGGCGTCGAGAGAGAGAGAGAGAAAAAACTTTTAATAAACAATTCGTGTGGCTCTTCCGAGGCGAGAGGAGCCCTCATTCCAGGGCCCCTGTAGCTGTCGCTGCGGCACGGGCCCGCGAGACCAGATTACGCTGGTCGTCCGGATCCCAGCTGGACAGCGCAGCTTCCCACTGCTCGGCGTTTGGGTTGGGAACTGGGGGGGCAGCCTGAATCTTAGGGCATGCCCACGTGATGTGATATAGTGAAGCCTTTTCGGTGCACAGGGGACATTTGTTTGTGGGGTATACTGTAGGGTACATGGCATGTAAGAGGCTGAGGTGGGGGAAAGTATTTGTTTGCAACATGCGCCAACCTACAGCGTCCTCCCTCGTTAGAGATTTGTGCGGCGGAGGAAGGGTGCGGCGACTCAATCGGAGATGTTGAAGGATGTCACGATAGGTAAGGGGGATGGGGATGGGGACCAGGGATGGGTCTTCCTGCGGTGGCGGGGCCCGGAGGGTTAAAGCTCGGGCTGACGCGTGTGCGCGTTCGTTCCCGCTCAGGGAATTATGCCCCGGCGTCCATATCAAGGATACTGTAGGGAGTTGTTCAGGGGGGTGATTAGTTAAAATTCGATGAGCAAATCTGGAGAGGCGACCGTTGACAAAACTACGGCAAGCCGCCTGCGAGTCAGTAATTATTGAAAGAGATGTGATAGCTGGGGTGGACGTGATAGCGAGCGCTATGGCCGCTTCTTCTGCCTCGAGTGGGAGGGAGGTAGGAACGGTCGCGGTGGTCACTTCTCGCATGTCTTCGTCGATTACGCTGACAGCCATGGCCAGTCGACCCGGGTAACTGGCGGCGTCAGTGTATCTGACGTGGCGGGCATATTGAAGTTTCTTCTGAAGAGTGCGGGCGCGAGCCTGTCGTCTCCCCTGATGGAACTCGGGGTGCATGTTTTTGGGTATTGGGGCAACTGAAATTTTGGTGCGATAAGCAGCAGTGAGGGGAATTGTTTCACTGTGGCCCAGGGTTTGAATTGGATAGCCCAGACGAGTTAGAACCTGCCTGCCTGCAGGTGTTAGCTTGAGACGTTCGCGTTGACCTGTGAGGTGTGCTTCAATGTGCTCTTCGACGGTATTGTGAATGCCGAGAGACAAGAGACGTGGTGTCGAGGTTCCGGGTGGAAGACCGAGGGCTTGTTTATAAGACCGGCGAATCAGTATTTCGAGTTTTTCTCGTTCCCGAGGTTTGAGGGTCAGATAGGGGACAGAGTAGGTTACACGGCTAATGATGAGTGCCTGGATGAGACGGGTAGCGTCTTCCTCTTTCAGGCCGTGTCGTCTGTTGGCAATTCGTCCCATCATACGAAGGATTTGATTCGTGGCACGCGTAAGACGTTGAAGCGCGTGTGATCCTCCGCCGTCTTGTTGGAGAAAGAGGCCGAGAATCCTAATGCATGTCACTTGCGGAATGACTTGATTCTCGAGTGTGAGAGTAAGCTGTGGCGGATCATAAGGAATGTTCCGGCATTTCTTCTTTACAATGAGCAGCTGCGATTTTTCAGGCGCACATTGAAGACCCCCACCACGTGCATACCGTTGAACCACGTCGGTCGCGCGCTGTAAGGCATCTTGGATCTCCCCGTCAGAGCCGGAGGTGGCCCACATAGTAATATCATCGGCGTAGAGGGCGTGATAGACACCCTCTATTTCTGCGAGTTGGGCAGGGAGCTTCATCATCGCCACGTTAAACAACATAGGCGACAGAACCGCTCCTTGTGGCGTTCCCCTGTTGGGAGTGGGGAGAGGTTGGGTCCGAAGGTCGCCAATGCCGATCGTGGCGGTGCGGTTTTGTAAAAATGCTTGAATGTAAGCAAAGGTTCGTTGACCACAGTTTAGATCACTGAGATTGGTAAGTATGATGTCGTGACTCACATTGTCAAATGCCCCCTTCAGATCCAGCGTCAGGATGGCTCTAGTGCTGTGAGCGGAGACTTGTCGATTGATATCCTCGTGTAGTTGGAGGAGGATGTCTTGCGTACTGAGGTGCGGACGAAAGCCGAAGATTGTCGGTGGTAGAAGGTTGTTGTTCTCGACGTATGGCTGGAGCCGGTTGAGTATCACGTGCTCGAATAGCTTCCCAATACATGAAGTGAGAGAGATGGGCCTCAGGTTCTCCAATGTGGGTGGTTTGCCGGTCTTGGGGATCAGGATGATATCGGCATGTTTCCACGCTGCCGGTAATGTGCCTTCCTCCCAATGCTGATTAAAGAAATTGGTGAGGGCTTGGATGGAAGGGTCGTCTAGGTTTCGAATGATACGGTTTGTAATCTTGTCCGCACCGGGGGTGGTATTGCGGGTAAGAGCCTGGATGGCTTGATTCACTTCGGCCAAAGTGATGGGATTATCAAGGTTCGCGTTGGGGGCACCACGGTATTGCATGGGCTGAGAGGGCGGATGTTGTTGCCCTATGTACTTGTCACGCAGAGCGTCGAGAATGTCCTTGCTTGTCCCTGGATATTGATGTAGGAGTTTTGTGATAATATGCCGGGTGGCTGACTTGCTCTTGGTGGGGTCAAGCAGGTGGCGCATCAGGGACCAGGTTTTGGCGGTGCCCAGGGTGCCCTGCAGGCTGTTGCAGAACTGTTGCCAGTTCTGTTGCATGAGGTCCACAGCGTAATCAGCGGCCTCCTCTGTGAGCCTTGCTATCCGAATCTTGAGGGTTCTGTTGTGCTTCTGCCGACGCCATCGCTTGATCAAGCTTCGTCGAGCTTCCCACAGATGGAGTAAGTGGGGGTCAACGGCTTGTCGTTCGTCGGTTAACATGATATCTTTGGCATAAGCGGAGACGTCGTGTTGTAGAGCGCTCACCCATTCGTCGAAGGAAATGATCTCTGAAGTGGAAGTGGTTTCTCTCTGCTTACGAAACTCGTCCCAATTAACGAGTCGTGTCTTTTTGATGTAGGAGTTCTTGCGAATGAGGGGGACCGTAGTGATGAGAATGCAGTGGTCACTTCCGAGCGTTTCCTCGGTGTTGCACCATTCAGCGTCTGCGAGCCTCTTGGTCATTGTCAAGTCGGGGCACGTGTCACGCGACACACTGTTGCCAATCCTGGTAGGGCAGGCAGGGTCTGTGTGTACTGTGAGGCCCTGTTGATGGATGAGCTCCCACAATTTATTGCCTTTCACGGTCGCCTTGCCGTATCCCCAAGCTGGGTGCGCCGCGTTAAAGTCGCCCAGGATGACGACGCCGTTCTGATTGGCTAGTTTGAAAGTCGCGGCGAGCAGGTAGGCAAAATTCTCCTTTCGTCGACTTGGTGGACTGTAGACATTGAGCACGAAAATACTCATCTGACCCCTTTTTGCAGGCAGGATCTCGATAAGGTTATGGTCGATGTTACTGCCATCAATTTGGTGCAGAACAGTGGTGAGTGATTTGGCAGTGAGTGTGGCGACTCTACTATCGGCGGACGTTGTATGACAGTTGTAGCCGGATTGCGATGGGACCGATCCGGTTTCTTGAATTGCTATGACATCAGGGGGGGTTTCGGCATCGCATATGTATTGACGAAGAGAGGCATGTTTTTGTTTGTACATACGACAATTCCATTGCCAAATGGTTAGGTTGTGGGAAGTTTGTTGAGCCTGATTATTCATCATGACCGGGTGTATGAGTAGGAAGGGAGGGGGATTCTAGGTTGGGTATTAGTTTTGCTTTTTTGCGGTTTGCGTGGTCAGTATCTTCAGTGTTAATGAGAGTATGAAGGTGCTGGAGCGCCTGTTTCATCTCTTGCAGCTGTTGTTGGGACTGCTCTTGGGACAGCTGCATTTGCTGCTGGATCTGAATGATTTGCTGTTGCATTTGTTGTTGTGATTGTACGAGTGTTTCTCCTAGTCCTGTTTCTATTTGCGAGGGCATGGGGCCAGTGGGTTCGGGGATTACAGCCACTTCATCGGAAGCTGACACTGGTGAGGTTGTTTTTTTCCCCGGATGTGATTTGATTGCGGGTATGACCTGGGAGGGGTCTGGGGGTGGCGAGGATCTTGAGGGTGTAAGGAGTGTTCGGAGTTGCCTATTCTCCTCTCTAAGTTGCCGACTCTCCTCTTTAAGTTGTTGATTCTCAGCCCTTAGTTCCTTTAACTGGTTTAAAATTTCGGTTAGCTGCTGACTAACATCCGGCGCGCAGGACGAAGAGGAAGTGGTCTGCCTCTTTTGGTTGTTTTGTGGGAATAGCCGCGCTGCCCAGCTCACCCTGTTGTTGTCTGTTGGTTGACAGAGTGCTGCTGGTGCCTTGTCGCATTGTGGGTTGCTTGATCGTGTCCTGGAATTGGACCTTGGTCTTGAGGAAGACCGTTGCCTCGGTCCCGTCCTTTGTGGCCCTCTGGAGCGGGAGCGTGACCGGGAGTTGACGCGAGTGTCCTTTCGTCTTCGGTGATGGTTCGAGACAGATGTTGGTGGGCGGTGAGCCTGCTTTTTAGGGCACTCCTTGGAGCCCGTAGGGTGGGCGCCTGTGCATAGAGCACATCGGGGCGTACACTCGTGGCCTTTCGTTGGGTTGGAAACACCACACATCACGCACTTAACAGTGTCCGGGTTTGGGCACACATCAGCGCGATGACCGATCTCGTGGCATATGTAGCAGGCGTGACGGGTAGGTAGATACCAACTGCATGGAAGTGCTGCGTGCTCGAAGATGACATATTTCGGTAATTGCTTGCCGGTGAAAGTAATAAGAGCTGTCGATGTTTTTCCGATCATTCGGGCTGAAAGAACTTCATAGCCCGGCGAGTAGAGATTGTCGATTAGTTCTTGGCCAGTGGTCTCGGGCGGGATGCCACGCACCACGCCGCGAGCCGAGTCGTCGGGGGCGGCAATATAAGCGTTAACTTCATATTCGTTGTCACCAAAACGCAGGGTTGGAATGTCTCTGATGTGTCGGGCCAGGTCTTCACTTGGGGTGCTTGCGATGGCGATATTTTGTATTCTGTCCATGCGGACTTGGAATGTTGTCGAGTTTGGTCGGTCGCGGGTATGTTGCCGAGTTTTCTCCGCGATGGCGCGAGAGAGGAGAGGTGGATAGTCTCGAGGTTGGCAAGATTTAAGGCTCCTCGCGGGCGAATAATAATTTTGAAATCGTCTCGAGGGAGCGGAGGTAGTCTTGGTTGTCTAGTTAGGGCCCTCTGCGGCGTCGGTTGAGAGACTGAGATTGTGGCCTCGGTATTTTGTGGCTTGACCTTTTTGGATCTTCGCCTGCGTATTTCTACCCAGTCGTCTCGTTCGGGTTGTTCTTCTTGGAGGGGGATGCCGGTAGCATCGCTTGCCTCCATGGCCGTTGCCATGCTTGGGTTGTGAGCCGGAGGCGGCGTGGGGCGAAGGCACGTGCCTAGCGCACGAGCACCGGGTAAAATGCTGCGCACCTGGTTAGTAGGCTTAGCGTGGCGGCCGTCGCTTGGGAACTTCGAGAAGCGATATTTCCGAGGGAAATTCACTCACGCGCTGGATGATGGTGTGCACTTGTTCCTTGCGACGAACTGTGTTGATTGAGACCAGAATTGTTGTTGGATTATACTTTTTGCCGGTGATTGAGATCTCTGAAAGCGGGAGCCCGTGAATAGTACATCAGCGCCAGTTGGCCCTCGTCTTCTTTTTTTCGCGGGCGTCGAAGTCGGCGTGACAGCAGAGTCGAACGCTGGGGCAAAAAGCTGACTCGACAAGGTCGCGGGCGGCCGCTTATCTAGAGTGCGTCAATAGCGAGTTTTAGTAGACCGTGTTTCCCCCTCCGCTAAGCCCCTCCGCTACCCGGAACTCTACAGCCAAGGCCATCGGCACGCAGGTGCAGTGGCGGTTTCTTCGTAGCGGAGGGTTAGCGAAGGGGAAAACACGGTCTACTAAAACTCCCTACTATCTCGAAGATTCGGCAACGAAGGTTCGAGCGTCGCGCGCTCAGGGCGAGAGTGAACACGCGCTTTCTAAAGCACGAAAGCAGGAGAATGATACAAGTTAATTCTGGAGCAAATAAACGAGAACCTTCTGGAAGTCCGTGACCGAGGGTTGCTTTCTCGGCCCTGCGCGCGGCAATATATAATCATTATATTTAACTATAACGATTACACGCGAGTAAACAATCAAGAAAGATCGTCTTTATTCGTTCCGAATGTTTAATTATCGTTCTCTCGTTCCCATTTGCAGGATGCCATAAAAGCAACGGCTAGGTGAAAAATAACCCTGCGATGCAGACGTTGCAGCGCCATTGCGAATCCAGGAAACCCAAAGACGAAAACGATAAATACCGGACGACGGACAAGGGCAGTAAATCCATCACGTCGAATCCCACAGCGACTTCCTCTTGCCAGTCGTTCAGGAACATAAATCGTCCT